ACAGGGAATAAAGCACGACTCTCATCTATTCGCATCAAGAAAGCTTTTGTACCATTTCCGCGCGGATACGCGGTCGCATTAACTTCATTACGCAGCCAACGCGGGGGCGAAGGAGCTCGACTCCCTTGCCCTTTATCCTGACGCGCGTGAGACCCGCTACTCTTTGCGATATTCGGAGTTGGGCTATCTTGATCGGGGTCGAAGGATGCAAACGCCTCGCTGCGAGATTTTCTGCACTCGAATCGCGATCCTCGGATGGCTTTAGTTCGTATGGAAGCAACCGATCGTATAACGCGGGTGTCTTTCTCTCGACATCCAGTCTTTATTGCTCGAGGGCTTCTCTTAAGCCCTCCGCCGACAGATGAAATATCACGAGAATCGCGACGGTCCTTCCGACATCACAACGCTCACAAAACTCGATTACACTAATAAAAAAAAAACTATCACAACTGGAAAGAATTGCGATGATCCTTGACAACCGCAATGAGATGGACAATAAAATAAAAACTACGTGTACTTGCAGCAAACCTTCTTCTCTACGTGACCTCTGAAATCGTTTCCTCTGAAACGATTTGTATTTCACCGAACCGACAACCACTTCAATACTAATTCTCAATGTCGCATAACAATAACACACGAGGCAATCAAACGTTCGCTATCGAGACACAAAGAGATCCTAGCGACTGAAAAATATTTTTGCAAACAGGAATACACGCGCGAATGACAATACACAACTAGCGACGAGAAATACGCACGCAGCGTATAACGATAACAGTTGAGGCAACATACACAACCTTCCTCAAATACATGAGAATTTTCGTAACTGAATACTATCCACGCAATGCATTGAAATTTCAAAGTCACTCGCGATAATTCTAATTCTCTAATATCGCGACGCGAATAATAAATACTGCGGAAAATAAGGAAATTGACACACAAAAATATATATGTGGAGGAAATACAACTACATGCAAAGAATATAACACACAAAATATAACTTTTTTCACTCTCTCTCACTCTCTAAACTCAAAGATAATTTTTAGATCTTTTGATCGAGGCCGCGCACGTTGAGCGCTAAATTTGTAACAGTGCTCGCGAGTGACAGCACAATTTCGTCGCGTGCTCTTAGCTCTCTTCTTACTTAAAAATACTTTTTTCACTCAATAGCGCAATATTTCGAAAGCTAGGGGAATTTTCGACAAATCTCTTAGCTTTTCACTAAATAAGTTGGGTAATATAAATCAGGTATGAGAGAGCATGCCACTCTTTCGATATTCTCCTCTACTTTCACTCGTACCAAATTCGAGATGGTAGGAGTGGATCGTCAAAGGTGGGGGAGGGCGAGAGTGATAGGCTATAAGAATCACACACGAAATAATAAAAAAATAAAAGACAATTATATTTAGCGAATCGTTTACATGCAATTTCCGGAGCTTCGCTTCTTTTGCTAGATTCAATACATTCTACGTTCGCAAAAGATACCAACTTATTTCTAACGCCGAGCGACAATCGTACTTTACGAGTTTTTACTTCTCTCCTGGTCATTTCAGACAGTGACAGAGAAACGACAACCGAATTATACACATAATCTGTCGACAGCAGAACTCGTACTCGAGGTAATACCCGTTACTCGGGCGTAACGCCGACGTGAAGCCAGACGTTAACTCGAAAGCGCGACACCATCACAATAATTGTTTCGATACGACACAAACAACACCAAAGCCTAAAATAACTTGATAGTAGCAAGAGAGGCAAGCGACTCGACAACTAATAATTTACCAACAATTCGGACAACAAAAATTCGGCAATTAATAATCACAATGTTTAGGAGGATGGTACGTGTCTTGCAATTTCACGACTCTACACTGTGGCCATTAAACCGGTCACTTTCCGCGACGCTTTTCCATGCGCGATCCACCTGAAACTATAAATCCGGATCGGCTTTACAGCAAACGGCGACGCTCCTCTCACCCTCGGCGTCCTGATCACTCCCTTATCCTTCTCGACAATCTTTCTCACGGCAGAATTTCTCAAAAATTCTCTCGTCAGCGGCGACTTTGTATGTCCTTTACAAATCGTTGACTCAGCCACAGCACGAGTGAGGCCCGGGAGCTCCTGGCGGATTCATGCAGACCGTTCGGCCTTCCCCCCTCTCAGGGGCCGTCACGCCGATTGACTTCTGCTAATCTGTTTGTGCGTGCCGCACGGGTCCTCGCGGCCGCAAATTTTTGCTCTTAAGTGCGCGTAATATGATTTCCTTCCAAGAGCTGTTTTTCCGCCTGAGATCCCGAAACTTGCCGGGCTGACGGGAGATGTTCTGGCAACTGCTTTTCTAGCTCCACGTCGAGGACATATGTCCGTACAGTCCCACAGTCCCCTACAGTCCCTTAGGTGGCTGGGAATTATTGCCTTTGGTCGTACTCTGCAAGGGATGTGTGATGTAAGAAGGTTGTAGGGCGGCCGCAGATTACAAGCAAATATACGAAACAATACGATTTGTCCGGTCTTTCGGTTGGGCGGCTTTTCAACGTAACGTCGTTTTTTTTTCCTTCCTTTCAATGTAGTCTTCCTCCCCCCGCTGGTGGGTGAGGCGGCATAATTACAAGATAACATAACAGCTGCCAAGCGCGATCTGCTGCGATCCTAACTTTAATTGTGAGACCAATCACTAACGAAAGAAAAGTCTTAACAAAAAGAGAAAGTTAGTTATTAAAGTAAAACAGACAATTACGGAGTTAGCGCACATTTGCAAGTGCGAACACGTGAGTTCGCGTGCGCGCTCGCCTTCCGAGACGGGAGGACGCGTGATTCCACCGCTGACGATTCTCGACGGACAAAAATTGTTGCATATATAGTGTGACAGTATTCTCGACTGACGCACAACTTCGTCACTTTTTTGTGATCGCAATTCGACAGTTAATTATTTTACTCTGATACTCTAAGTCGGTAGCTACTCACTGAATTACCGCGAATTTTCTTTTAACTTAAGTTGAGCGCCAGACACGAGTGAACGTGCCTCTTTGTGACTCAACATTTCTTTAAGGCGACGGATGATAACCGACTGCTCGTCCCGCATGAATAGCGGGGGGTGATTCGGAGCGGCAGTAAATCGGAAGGCGAGAGAACAAATAAGAATTACTTCCTTTTAATAATAAGAGAATGAAAAACATATATTTAATATTGATAGCAAGAACAATTACATGAATCTACTCAAGTACGCAATTCACCATAGTTATTATACTTCGTAAGAGTGAACATGAGCTCGTTATAAGTGGAAGTTATCGAGTCGCGTAGCACAAAATAATATAAGGAATGTGAACAGGAGATTATCGTAAGAGTTATTCCAAATTCATTAGTCGATCAAAGTTTACAGCGACAATCATGGCTTTCCGCCAGATGTCGTACAATGATTTTTTTTACTCTACACCAAATGCGGCGTATTCTAATGACGACGTACAATGCAAAATGACGATTTAATATACAATCACACTAACGAGACGCGGTGATTTCGCTGTGGCGAGAGGATGGCAAGCTCTACGCAAACTGAATACAAAAATCTATGTGATTCGAGCGAACAGCAAGCTAAAAGATTAATCGCTCGCGGTAGCTGCCTGTACGGGCCTCAGCCTTTCGGCTCAAATTCGACACTGCTATTCGCTCGAGATCATGTTGTTGGGGATCAGCGGCTTTACAGAATTTCTACGCTTGTCGCATCGGTGATTCCTCCTTCTCGTCTCTTCGATAGCTCTTTTTTGTTCCTTCCTCTCCGCTCGGCTTTACTTTAATAATCGGTAGCACTTAACTCGGTCTCAATGGATCCTGCGTCTTCTCACAATCTGTCCACGGCTCGTATCACAACACAAGTAATTTCGGCAGGCCCCAGAAGAATGCACAGGCCGCGCTGCTTTTCGGGAGCGAGGTCTCCCAGTATTTGATTTATCGATAGCGACACCGCGCAACGCTGCGAATCGCGTGGGCCCGTGGCAGCGATTCCCGCGACTTGGCGTGGAATTCGAATTTCACTCGGGTAGTTTTCTTGCCCGCGACTCTACTTTTGTCTCACACGGAGCTTTTTCTGCTTGAAGCAGTTCGTTTGGTTCGAGCCCGAATCCGTAGTCTTCTCGGCGGTTAGGCAATTTCTTTGGTTCGAACTCAAATTCACCGTGGTTTTTCTCGGACGTTCTAGTTCTCTTGAGAAGCTATCTCATCCCGACGTCTCGGCATCCTCCGTTTTCTCTGTAAAACAAGAGCGGTACTAAAAGAGCGTAAATAATAGATACAGGCTGCGTTAAGTTAAGAAGAGCGATATGACGTGCCCCCGCCATTAGGGCGTAATCCGGAGCCTTCTAGATGACGGTCCTCTTCGGCGATCCTCTTCCTTGCTGGTAATCGGGTGAGACAGCTTCGACGCAACACAACTATCAACGCACACAACTATCGATCCTGGTAACGGATTCTCGCAGAAAAATAATACAAAAAAATACAGAAGAAAAAATAAATAAAAATAAATTTAAGGTGGCGCATGAACGGTAGTGCTCGCAAGCTTATTGTCCGCCCTCAGGAGCTAGGAGGACTCAGGATCCACTCGGTTAATCCGCGACACAGTGACGGACGAAAAACGTCACGTCACAACTATCTCTTCCCCGGAAAAGACCGAGGAAGTATCATAGGCGTCGTCAGCCGTTTTTCCCCAACAATTTATTCTCAAGTGGTCGGAGAGAAGTTTCCTCTTCATGAGTCGAAGTTTCCTCTTAACAGACTTAACAGTCTCTCTCTTTCAGTGACCGCGTCCGGACACCGATACACGAAGAACAACACTCTCCAACTTCCTCGCGAATTCCGGCGAGAAGAGAGGGCAGAGCCGTTCTGCCCGGCCTCTTCCTCTTCCTCAAATTGCTGCCGAATTCGGTTCCCCGAGGAACAAAATGAGACTCATCAAAGAAAATGAAAAAAGAAACAACAGCAAAGCACACAAAAAAGTTTCCTAGAACAGTCTGCACTCGGGACCGACCAGGTCTCTCCCACTCCTCCCCCCTTCAACAAAATGCATAATACTCCAAATTTTTGCTCGGCCACCTATCATGCCATTACCGCCGCTAGCCCCCACTTAACTCTCGCCATCTTTATCGCTCTAATGACGCACACAAAGGACAACGATACCTGATCGTAGAGATACTATAACAGAGATTCGACAACGCGTTAATGATTTCTGATTGGCTCCCGTCGCTTGGGGTATAACCGGAAGTGAGAGAGAAAGATATATATAACTAAGAAAGAAAGCTTAGCCGACCTAACCTGTCACCTGTCGAAAGAAAACAGCGTGCCTACTGCCTAAATAATCAACATTGAACTAAACTGGTTAAAAGTACATTAATCATACAACGAAAAAAAAAATATCGATCTCGGTTGATCGATTATAAAGTGAAAATATATAAAAGTGTCAACACTTGTGCAATTTATAAGGTATGTGTATTTTATTTCAGACTATGTGATATCAGGGTTGGGAAAGTTATTTATAAGTTATTTTTTAGATTACCTTATAGGCGTTTGTTATAGAACTTAAGTACAAATAATAATAAAAATTTGTAGCAAATGATAAAATATAACATAAAAAACAAAATACCCGAACTTATTGTACTCAATTTCTATACTAAAAGTAACTTATAAGTAACTTGTAAAGTAACTTTCCAACCCTGTCAGTGATATATATAATGTACCGTATTTCCAATGTAGTCTCAAAAATAATTTTTTTTTTTCAAATAAAATAGGTGAATAAAAAATGCCTAATAGCTGCTGTGCCGGCTATTGTACTAATACAAATATAAAAGGATATCAGATATGTCGATTTCCAAAAGATTCGGAAAGAAAAAGAATATGGATCCCTGAATATGAATCGTACAAATTGGATTCCAACTTCAGATGCAAGATTATGTGATGTAAGTTACAATCAAAAGCTAACTGTTTTAATTTTTGCTAAAAGTTT